AGTATAATTGAGTGTGGAAGTCTGTTTCTCAAGATAGGAAGGGGTAAAATCACAGAACGTTTTAATAGCTAATTATACTTTTTAAATTTTGCTTTCATATTTGTTTGTTTTGAAACTATGCCCATTCATCTAGAGAGAGGGTGAAGTAGGGAAGAAAATAGAAAAGGCAGAATATGATACAAAACAAAGTCCAAGTGCATGAGAGAAATGTACTTTCAGATAAGGAGAAAAATCAAGGGAGAGTATCACATGCATCACATGCAACTTCATTCTTCATAATAAAAGTGCATAAGAAATAGAAAGTTAATGATTATCTCTGGAAGGAGTATTAGAGATTTCAGAAATCAATTGCTTACATTTATTTCCTTTTCCTCCTGAACTGTGGATACAATATAATCCCAAAGCTATAGTGGATTAATTCCTTAGCAAGAAAAGCAGTGGTTATTATAGTGGAAGAAGAAATTAGCTGAATTCAGCTAAAAATATTTCAGTTCTTACTTTACATGATTCTCAAACCAGGATCAGATGACTAAAGAATAGCTCATATTATGGACTTTGAAGATGATACTATATCAGTATATTTTGTGAACTTTTGTGTAGTTGTTATCTAAACCTGTAACAGTAACAAACTCATGTCTGTCCTTCAGAGTTCATTAATGCAATCCTTCAGATGGGGTATGTTTCAGTACTTTTGAAGGAAAGTTGATAGAGGGACACAGAGATGATTTGAGTTTGGAAGGCTTGGATGTGGGAAAAAGAAGAAATAGATTGGAAAGACCAAGAATGGATCCTCTTTATTGATTAACATCAAAGGAACAGGGAAAACATTCTCTCAGACTAAACCTGCTCTTTCTCTTTTGGTTCCTCAGTTTTGCTTCCAGTTTTGGAATCACTTTCCCTTCTACTCAGCCTAACCTTTAACTGCTGGACAATTAGGCTTCTTCTGTGATGAGATAACCTCTTTCCTTCTCGTTGTCTAGTCATTAATCCTGGAAAATAGGACTTGTCTGATGGAAAAAAAATCACTCGACTTCCTAAAGATCTTACGTAGACTCCTTTGTAAGCATGGATGCTCTTAGTTCAACCATAAAAATCTTTCTGGAACAGATGAGGAGATGTACTTTTGCAATTCCAGTGCCTGGGCATTGAGGCTGGAGGATTATCAGTTTGACACCATTTTGGTCTGAGACCTTGTTTCAGAAAAATAATAATAAGCATAATAAAAACAAAAATACCTATATATCCCCAACTCAACCCATCTGTCCTAATGGTTTATGCTTATTGATACATACTTTGTGCTATTCAATCCTTTATGCAAGTATTCCTTCCTTTCACATGAGCTTTGAGACAACTCAAATAAGCAGTGCTTTTTATTTTATTGCAGAGAGTTGTAGCAAATGTAGGTCTTCAAAAATCCTCATTGATCCCCCAGTACTTCTGCATTGTTTGCCTTAATGAGTAGCACACTCACATTCATCAAATTGTCTGGAAACATGAGAGAAATTTAATTCCAAAAACAGTCTCTTTACCTTTTCCTTTCAATTCTATCCTCATTATTTTACTCCTCTGACCCAAGCTAAGGCAATAAAGTTACTTCATTTGCATTGAAGAGAAAATTTCCAGTTTAAAAATTATTCTAGGAGCTGGGAAGGTGGCTCAGTGGTTGAGCGCTTGCCTTGCATGCATGAGGCCCTGGGTTCAATTCCTCAGCACCACATAAGCAAAAAAAGCCAGAAGTGGTGCCGTGGCTCAAGTGGTAGAGCGCTAGCCTTGAGCTGAAGAGATGAGGGACAGTGCCCAGGCCCAGAGTTCAGGCCGCAGTGTGTGTGTGTGTGTGTGTGTGTGTGTGTGTGTGTATTATTCTAGTCTCCATCTTCTATTTCTTTTTTTTTCCATCTTCATGTCAATCCTCCTACCAGTTCCCTACAATTTTGGCTTCCAGCTGTCACATCTCCAACTCTTCTAATACTTTGCAATAAAATCCAATGCAACTATTAATTATTTTTGATACTGTGTGAAAAATTGGTGATTACCTACTATTCCTATTTGATATCTTATTATCAATAAAATATTTTTAAGTTGCACTAGGTAATAACATAAAAATAGGAATGATAACATCAGTATAATAATGAAAAATAATAGTACCGGAAGCCAATCTCAGACATGGAAAATACAGTAGGAAGACAAGAAGGTGATATCAAGAAAGCTAAGGAAGCCTGCAGATCACTACCACTAAAATAAAGACTCCAAAATTTGACCTTTTAAAAAAAAGAAGAAGAAAGCCAAGGGAAAAGATTGAATTTGAGCCCAGCTCTATTTCTGGCTTTGTTGGTGCTTAATTAGCAATAAGAGTTTCAAGGACTTTTCTGTTCTGGCTGTCTTTGAACCATGATCCTTGGATCTCAGCCTCCTGAGAAGCTAGGAATGCAGGCGTGAGCCAACAGAAGCTGGCTGTGACATTATTTTATAATGTGTGAGATGAAAATCATGTAAACACAGTTGGTTTATTACAAATAACTATGATTACTGAGTGGTATTTCATGAAAGTTAAATTACATAAACACAGTACACAAATGGTGGAAAATGCTAAGACAAGATTAGCTAATAATGTGGGGACTAAACTAAAATATATTCGTTGTATTTTAAAGTATAGTAAGTTGAGATCTCTCAGTGTTATAAAATAGTCTCTGTGCCCAAATCAATTGAAAAGGGAAGACTTGGTATCCTAATTGTGTTTCCCATTCTTTTTTGTTTGAATCCAAAGGAATGACTTAAAGTATAATTTTAAAATGCAACATTTTTCCTGGGGTTTTTTTTTTGCTTGTTTATTGGCCTTTCAGGTCTCAATTCATGATCAATTGAGATTTTGCATCTAGGAAGGAATGTAGATTTGAGTTGGTTCTTTACCAGTTTGTGTGGATTTCAAGTTCAGAATGATGCTATGCCTCAATCAAGATCATGGTTGATGAAAAGGCTGAGGTGAGGACTTAGACAAACTCCCAAATACAGTCTTCTTTATCCCATGTACAACACAGGTCTTAGAAAATCTTCAACATTTATTCATTTCCAGATTGTTCTATCCAAATACATAAAATATACATCTATTGGTTGCAACCAAATATCCCATTTATTGACTTATTTCAAATGCTACAATTTTAACTCTCTTATATTGAAAATGTATTTACCAAGTATTTATGAAAAAATATTTTATTCCTCTCCATTCATTAGATTATCAACAAGATTCACTAGTCCATATACTTAATTATTTCTACACACTTTTTCTTTATTTTGTTTCTACTGTTGCAGCCCTCATTGTTTTTTCTTTCTTCTTCCTTTTTCTTTTTTTGTGCCAGTTGTGATACTTAAACTCAAGGCCTAGGTGCTGACCCAGAACATTTTTGCTCAAGGCTAATGTTCTACCACATGAACCACACAGCTCCACTTCTAATTTTTTAGAGCTTACTTAGTGATTAAGTCTCACGAACTTTCCTGCCCAACATGACTTTGAACTATGATCCTCAGATCTCTGCATCCTGAGTAGCTAGGATTATAGGCATGAGCCACCCAGCTTGAGGCCTTATTTCTTATTCTGTTTTGTCCATTGGGAAATTTCCTTAGAACTCTTTCTCTCTTCAAACGTTTTGCCATTTAAATCTAATTTCTTGACAGAAGCTTATTATACAAGTCTAAAATATGTTCATTGCCATTATGGGATTTAAAGTACATTGGTTAAGAATAATACAAAATATATAATTAGGATTGTGTAAGTGTATAACTTGGAAGCTGACATAGAAAATAAATTATCTTTGTTATGTATAAAAAAGATAACAAAAACATAATTTTGGTAATGCTTTCTTCCTATAAAATTGGTTAATTTAAGAAATTTCTTATGTATTTATGATAATAATAAATTATTTCCATAGAAAATATTAATCCCTTGGCTTTCTTGTCAAGATTTTAATCTTCAAATAGACAAGACAGTCTACTAGACTAGTCATGTTTTAGTGACACTAATACATGTTTCATGTATTGATATGTAGTGGTTTTTATTTCACATTTAAGAGTTTTACTTGTCTTGCTTGTTCTTCACAAGAACATTCTTTCTCTAAAGCCAAATGTTCTGTACAGATTTAATAAAAAAACTTCTGATTCTTTATTGAGACAGCTGGGTAAAGATAATGTCTGTTCTCTGCTGACAAATATATGTGATTGATTATTTTATAAATGTGCCAACCCAGCCGGGCGCTGGTGGCTCACACCTGAAATCCCAGCTACTCAGGAGGCTGAGATCTGAGAATCACAGTTCAAAGCCAGCCTGAGCAGGAAAGTCTGTGAGACTCTTATCTCCAATAAACCACTAGAAAACCGGAAGTGGTGCTATGGCTCAAGCGGTAGAATGCTCACCTTGAGTTGAAGAGGGACAGCGTCCAAGCCCAGAGTTCAAGCCCCATGACCGACAAAAAAAAATTAATTAATTAATTAATGTGCCAACCCATAATGAAGAATAAAGCTAATTATGATTGTACAATGTAAATGTACATCAATGAATGAGTGATATTGAGCTCACAAAAGACCATAACTATATTTTGACCAGTATATTCCTAGTATTCCATAGAAGAGAATTGTGGTTAATCATCAGAAGTAGTCAGTCAGGTAAAAAAAGAACCATAACATGAAAGAGCCTTCTTGAGAATAGATGATAATACAATGAAAATACTGCCTTGAGTAGAGGGCTTTGAAGACATTATAAATACACTAAAAATGGCTATTTTCTTTTACTATTGTTGTTACTACTTGTAGCATGTTTAGAAAATTGTGATAACTTTCTCGTCACTGGTTTCTTATCCTTCAAATATGAATAGATACCAACCTCTTCTTAAGGCAATAACCTTGCCACAATCCCTTCACATATATAAGTGGATAAAATTTCTGGGATTTCTCATTCTTTTTTCTCCCAACTTTCCAATTCCAGTTTCCACTATCAGAGGCCAAAGAAAAAGATGACCACCTCTCCAATATCTTCAAATCAGACCAACCTCAGAGACATCTGGTATACCATGATTGGCATCCCAGGACTGGAAAATGCACACATCTGGATCTCCATCCCCATCTGTTCTATGTACATAATAGCTATTGTAGGCAATGCGTTCTTGATATTCCTGATCTTCGCTGAGCGCACTCTCCATGAGCCCATGTACCTTTTTCTCTCCATGTTAGCTCTGGCAGATATCTTACTCTCCACAGTCACCACACCAAAGATGCTAGCCATATTCTGGTTCCAAGCTGGGGGGATTTCTTTTGGTAGCTGTGTGTCTCAAATGTTTTTCCTCCATTTCATCTTTGTGACAGAGTCTGCCGTATTGCTGGCTATGGCATTTGATCGCTTTGTGGCCATCTGTTATCCACTGAGATATACAACCATCCTAACCCACTCAGTCATTGGGAAATTGGGTGTGGCCTCTGTAACTAGGAGTTTCTTCATTTGCTTCCCCTTGATTTTTCTGGTTTATCGGCTCACTTACTGTGGGAAGAATATCATACGTCACTCATATTGTGAACACATGGGCATTGCCAGGCTGGCCTGTGACAGCATCAAAGTCAATGTCTACTACGGTGTGATTGTGGCTCTGTTTTCCACATTTCTAGATGTGATCATTATCATTGTCTCCTATGTGCTTATACTTTGTACTGTGTTTAGAATTCCTTCCCGAGATGCCCGACACAAGGCTTTGAGTACTTGTGGCTCCCATGTCTGTGTCATTCTCTTGTTCTACAGTCCATCTTTCTTTTCTTTTCTTGCTCACCGATTTGGAGGCCACAGCATACCCATCAGTGTGCACATCCTCATTGCTAATCTCTATGTGGTTGTACCACCCTGTCTCAACCCCATCATCTATGGAGTCAAGACCAAGAAAATCCAAGACAGGGCTGTGCAGGTCTTTTCTATTAGCAATAAATTCTGTTGATTTAAACCAACTCTTAGAAGTGCCCCCTTTAAATCAACAGAATGTTGATTATATCAAGTCAGCCATAAATAAAAGTATAGTAGTCGTTTTTGAGAAAAACCATGATATCATATTCTGTTTGTTTCATTTATTTATTTATTTGGGTATGATCGTGGGGACTGAACTCTGGGCCTGGGGGCTGTCGCTCAGCTCTTCAGCTCAAGGCTAGTGCTCTACCACTTGAGCTACAATGCCAGTTCCAGCTTTTTTTTCTTTTTTTGCTTATGTGTTGCTGAGGAATCGAACCTAGGTCCTCCTGCATGCAAGGCAAGCACTCTACCACTGAGTCACCTTCCCAGCCCCCCTGTTTGTTTCTTTTTAAAAGATACATGTTTTATTTTACTTTTTGTTTTTTTCTTTTTCCACTTATTTATTTTTATTGTAAAGGTGATATATAGAAGGGTTACAGTTATATAAGTCAGATAGAGAGTATATTTCTTTTTGAAAAATGTTGCCCCCTTCCCTCATTCTCTCCCAATGTTTTACTCCTATCCCCACCCACAAGTTGTATAATTCATTTTCAACAGTGTCTAGTGAGTATCACGGCTACATTTGGTTTTTTTTTTTTTCAGAGGGGGGTCCGGTTGTGGGGCCTGAACTCTGGGCCTGGGCACTGTCCCTCAGCTCTTCAGCTCAAGGCTAGCGCTCTTCCACTTGAGCCACAGCCCCACTTCCGGATTTTTTCTTTTTGCTAATGTGGTGCTGAGGAATCGAACCCAGGGCCTCAGGCATGCAAGGCAAGCGCTCTACCACTGAGCCACCTTCCCAGCTCACGGCTACATTTGTTCACCCTTTGTCTCTCCTTTTATGTGCCCCACTTTGTCCTCCTAAAGACAGATATATGAACAAACAAGACAAAAGATGAAAGCAAAAATAGCAACAAAGAAAAAAATCCTCTTGTTTTCACTTCCTGAGGTTCATTTCCATAAGTATTTTGTATTGTCTGATGCTCTTAGCTATTGCATCTATGTGATCATTTCTTAAGAATATCCTCCTCTGGTTGCACTCTGTGTGAATGCCTAGGAACCTGTATAATTAATCCCAGTGTAATTTTTATCTTTTACTATCTAGTGTGTTTATTTGTAGATTTATAGGCACATTCTAGTTACCACAAATGAGGGAAACCATGCAACCTATGTTTCTTTGGATCTGTCTTTCTTTGCTTAATATAGTTTTTTCCAAATGTTTTCATTTCCTTATTAACACTACAATATTATTCTTTCTGAAGGTAAATAGAAATCCCACAGAATGAGAAAATATTTATTTTACCAACTGTGCATCAGACAAGGGTTTCATATCTAAAATATACTTATCCCTGCTCAGCACTTAGGGCTGCTCAGCTCTACCACATGCTCAGTACACTCTTCCACAGCTGCAGATCCCTAAACACAGGGGCCCTCACCTAGACCACCCTCATAAACCTGCCTGGCATAGGGAACTCTCCGAAGTACGGCATTGGTCTGAGACAATATTGTATCCTCATGTGTCTCAAGACCCCATGTAGCCTCATCTCAATGTATAACTTATTCTGTCCTAGGCCCACAGCTGCCCGTCTGATACTTCAATACAATGCAGAGGTTCTTACTTCTTGGTGTCTTGTCACTTGTTCTCATCAATGACTTGTCCCATCAGTTGTCAGTGCTTTGATGTCACCCCTACAGTTGGTCTTTCCTCTCTGATACTCAGTACACTTCATCTCATCCCATATTCATTGATAAACTTATGATGTTTTATTAAAGATGCAGGCACAATATCATTCTTTCTGATGGATAGGTTAAATCCCATTATGTCTATATACCACATTTTCTTGAACCATTCATGCACTGAGAGGCATCTGGGTTGATTCCATAGCTGGGCTATGGTAAACAATGCTGCAATGAACATGGCTGTGCTGGTAGCTTTAGTGTGGCCTTGTTTAAGGTCTATTGGATAAATGCCCAGGCATGGGATTGCTGGGTGATAGGGAAGCTCTATGTTTACTCTTTGAGCATTCTCCGTACTGCTTTCCATAGTAGTTGAAGAAGTTTACATTCCCACCAAGAGTGTAATAGAGTTCCCTTTTGACCACATTCCTGCCAGAATCTGTTATTGTTAGTTTTCTTTTTTGATAATGACCATGCTAACTGGGAAGAAGTGGAATCTTAATGTTGTTTTGATTACATTTCTTTTATGGCCAGCGATGTTGAACATTTCTTCATATGTCTATTGGCCATTCTTAGTTCTTCATTGGATAAGTTTTTCTTTAAGTCCTTGCCTGTTTATTAATTGGCTTGCTGTTTCTTTAAGAGTTCATGTTGTGGGGCATTTAGTTTTTTGAGCTTTAAGTATATTTTAGATATTTTATTTTTGTGTTAGCACCAATTTATTGTACAGTGAGGTTTCTTTTTATCATGTTCATTTATGCATACAGTATACAATGGTCAGGGTTACCTCTCCACAATTCTCCTTCCTATTCCCTCTGGCTTTCCAAACCAGCCTTAGTACTTTTCTTTGTTCCATTATCACACATGCATACAAAATGCTTGAGTATATTTGCCCTACTTTCCAGCAATCATTCATCTGCCTTCTCAGATCACCAGTTTTCTTTAAGGAAAAGTACTGGGGAGTCTGGAGGAAGATGGTGGAGGAGAAGCTGGGGGCTAAACAAGCTCATGAATAGAAACCAGTTTTAGTGTTCCAGTGAAAGGTCCAAGGCTAGAGAGTCACATCAAGAGTGCCATCATAGTACAGAGTTTGGCCAGAGAGGGAAAAATCAGGCAGCTTGGTTAAGGAGACAGATTCAAGCACTCGCTGTGTCTGTGGAGGTGATGGCACTGACACTGCTGATGGCTGTTGCTACAGCCACCATATCAACAGAGAGAGCCCAGGACAAAGGCACCAGAGGCAGCGTGTGAGCAGATTCTACTCAGCACCAGCAAGAATTGACAAGGAGCAGAAATTTATTGCACACCGTGGACAGTCCAGAAACCAAGGGAAAGGCATGAAACCCCCACAAGACATTCTCACTCCTTCTCACGGAGCAGAGGTGTGAAGGTAGCCCTTCTTCCACCACTGGAGAAGAACTCCATCTTGATACTGACAAGACCAGGCAGAGCAGCTAGAATATAACACAGGCCTTGGAAGAAGACAATAGAAGCCATTCAACAGATCAAGGAACCTGACCTGCAGGGCTTAGCTCCACCCCCAGGGAAAGTTGCCCTTGCCAGATAGAGAAAGCTCCACCCATGGAGGAGTGACTTTCTTTACTGGGTAAACAGAGCCAGAGGCTGCCCAACCCCACTGCAGCACAGGCAGCAGACCCACTTGAAGAAGGGTGAAAGAAAATCAATTGGGAAATCAGTACACATAAATCCTGAAAATGGCTCAAGGCTAGGCTCTGTGAGTGTCTCAGGAGCAGCTAGACCCTCAGGGAAAAGGTAATGATTGCTGATAGGCCTCAACCCTACCCACAACCTAGCCCCATCACAGTAACTCCAAGCTAGAGGAAACAGCAATTACCTTTTTTTTATGATACTCAAAGCAGATACATGCCCTCCCACTGAACTAGCCCAGGAAGAGGGTCATAAAGCCCCTGGTAAGGCAGAGTTTCATCCTCCATGCTCAAACAAATTGATTTAAGAAACCAGTCAAGCCACAGGAAAACGAAACACCACAAGCAAACCAGAGACTCCACCAAGAGATTGGTTATGGACACAGAGGATACACAAGATTACCTCCCCCCCTCCAATAAAATCGAAGAACCCTTTTTTCTACCTAAATTTTTTTAAATTAAAAAAATTGTTTTCTCATTACAGAAAGGAATAGGAGAAACTCTAGGGCTCCTTAGCACAGCCCGAAATTTTCTTAATAAAGACCCAGAAGCACAACAAATCAATCCTATTTGATAGGATTGCATGAAACTGCAGAGCTTCTGCATGGCAAAGGACATAGCTAGCAAGATCAATAGAAATCCCACAGATTGGGAGAAGATCTTCACTAGCCATCCAACAGACAAGGGTCTCATATCTAAAATATACTTAGAACTCAAAAAATTAAATCCTCCAACAACAAATCCTCAAAGAAACAGCTGCCCTATAAATAAATGGGCTAAAGACTTAAAGACAAACTTTAGCTAAGATATGGAACCAGCCCAGATGTCCCTCAGTAGATGAATGGATCAAGAAAATGTGGTATAAGTACAGTAAAAATTCTATGCCTCCATTAGAAAGAATGAAACAGCCCAATTTGTTAGGAAATGGAAAAAATTGGAAAATAATCACATTAAGTGAAGTAATCCAGGCCCAAAGAAACATAGGTCCCATGCTTTCCTTTATCTGCAATAACTAGTGTATGTCTAGGACAAACAGAAAAGGTCAAAAGCTATGTACATATGACCATATAAGATGATGTTAAGTGAAATGAACCCCAAGATAAGGATACAAGAAGTTTTATCTTTCTTGCTGTTTTTAATGTATTTATAATGTACTATGTGATTTTTTTTGTTTCTTTTGTATGTTCTTCTCCCATGGTATAACCCCTGTTTTCACTGTTTTTGATTCTGATGCCATGCATCTTGTATATACATTTTTCTAATTTGGGGAGGAGAAGAGAAATACAAAATTCTGAAATAAGGATACAGGTTGACCCATTGTAACAATTAGATGTACAAGATACAATGTTGAAAATGAACTGCACAACTTTGAGGGGTCGGGAGGAGTTGGGGAGGTGAGGAGGGAAGGGATGGTAGGGGAAAAAACAAAGGGTGTAACAATGCTCAATGGGAAATGGACTCAATACCTTGCTCATGTAACTGTAACCCCTCTGTATAGTATCTTTACAATAATATATATATATATATATATAAAATAAAAAACTACAAAATGGCAGGAGTTAGTGCAGCTTTCCAATAATTACTTTGACTATTGAAGTTTCTATTTATTATTTTAGTCATTTATTAATTTTACTTAATTTATGTGATATTC